TCAGGATACAGGGAGAGTTCGGCAAAGGTTCCTTCGACCTTGACATGACAGGTTGAAAGTGCGTTTCTGGGCGCCACCACCACGCAAGGAGCTGAAGCGAGCACCGCCGCTTCGGGAGGTTCTGCAGCATGCGCCGCCACCTCTGGAGAAACTGCAGTGGGCACCATTGCTTCGGGGAACACAGCAGCGAGCACCACTGCCTCAGGAGATTCTGCAGCTTCAGCCTCCACCTCTAGAGACCTAATAGTGGGCGCCGCTGCCTCTGGGAGTTCTGTGGTGGTGTATGCAGCCCAAACACACCAAAAAGCGATTCCCATCAGGGGAAACACTTCAGACAGAGGAATTAGTTCAGGAACAGAAGAGTTAGTGTGAGTAGGTTTGGGGGATACCAGCTGTGCGTGCAGACACCAGTGGTGTATCCCTCACACTAGATACCAGACTGGGATACCGAAAGACTGACCTTGAAGATCTGGGTGCAACAGACAGGACATGATAAAACTCCTGACAATCAGCTGTGACGTGACGTGACTCTGGACGATCAGCTATGACGTGACTTGCCTCATGACGATCAGCTGTGACGTGACTTGGTTCATGAAGATCAGCTGTGACTTGACTCATGAAGATCAGCTGTGACTTGACTCATAATAATGAACTGTGACTTGATCTGACTCATGATGATCAACCGTGACTTGACTGAACTCAGGGAGATCAGCTGTGATTTGACTGGACTCATGAGAAACAGCTGTGATTAGACTTGACTCATGACAATCAGTTGTGACTAGACTTGACTCATGGAAATCAGCTGTGACTAGACTTGACTCATGACGATCAATTGTGACTTGACTTGATTCAAGAAGATCAGCTGTGACATAATTTGGCGCTGTTGTGTCCGCCATTTTGCGATCAGGCTCCGCTGTAGACGCCATTTTGTGAGCGTACTCTGGTGCAGTCGCCATTTCAGTCACAGACACTTTGTTGTGTTCTTCCTCTGTGACACCCACAGTAAACAAAGAGTCAACAGTCAACAAAGCATAATCCATAAACTGAGCGAGAGACAAACGTGGACCATCGCTTCTAAGTATAGACCTAAGAGGTCGATTAATGCCATCACAAAAAAACTATCAAAAGACAGTCCCGTAAATCTGAATAGTGTGCAATTGCTAAAAATTCTCTAATAGTTCTCCAGCGATCGCGGGCCTTGTTTAAGGGCTAATAATATTCTTGCAGTGTCCATACCTGGCCAATGTCCACTTGAACAGCTGCTGGATCCTTGTGTGGCTAAGTATTCTGTAACGGGGCCGACGAGACATACGGATCCGTGTGCAAGTACACACGCACACACACACACACACGTTTGTTTCTGTGAATTGTGGGGGCTTTCCATAGACTTTTATACCCTTTTATACTGACCAATTTATATTTTTTATATACTCACACACACAAATACACACACGCAGACACACACACACACACACACACACACACACACACACACACACACACACACACACACACACACACACACACACACACACACACACACACACACACACACACACTTACACTCACACACACAGACACGCGCACGCACACACACACAGCACAATGCATTACTGTAAGATCCCTCAAACAGTTATGTAATTTCAGTTCATAACAAACGCTGTTCTCACCCAGCTGCATCTCCAAGACACTCATCTTATTTTCAGATGGGTACAGGATCTTGGGAGGCTTGTCAGTCAGCGGGGCTGTGCAAGAAAACAAACAACAATGCAAATGATTAGTTGCATGACAATGCTGTCCATCTGTCTCTGATAGAGCTGCAGAATGACACGTTAAATCCTAAACGACAATGATTCGGCTGGATATTAACTGTTTTTGACATGCATAGTATCTCAACAAAAATGGAGTGAATCACCTTTTGAAAGTAATTTGAAGCTTCATATACAGATTGTAATACGGAACTACATATTCCACCCAGTCTGACAGTATCGTTCCCTCATCTGAGGTCACAGTGGACAGGCTACTTTATTTGGACTTTTTCTGTTCTCGGATGATGCATTTCAATAAACAAATATGGCCACATGCATTGGTAACAATTACTTACTGATCTTAGCAATGATAAAATTGCCATTATAGTATAGCATTAAATTTGATATCTTGTTAAACATGAATCAATATTAGTATGTAAAAGCTTCAAATAAACAGACACATCAGTAATGATTCATCATCTATGTTTTTCTATAATTAGACATACTATCTACAAAAATCTATATTTTGTAAACTTTTAATTTATATTTTTGATTTCTTCCTTTCTAGGTCTATACATTGATTCACATAATTCACACTTTTTGTTAACTGCCTTACAAGTATGATTGTATCCAAATGAACAAGTGGATATAAATAAAATTTTAATACACAACAGACCCAAAAACAATTAGACACACCAGTTTTTACACATTTGAAATGACATTCATACATTACATTAAGTGTAAAAAAAATAAAAATTGTTTTAAAATTATTGTGTATTTAAAATGTACCAGTGAATAGCATTTACACTACCATACTTTCTCTTAATCAGACCAGTCTGAAAAGTTTGTTTAAACTGTCTGTAATGTATTTTCACACTGAAAGTCATCAGATCTTCAAACAAAAACCGTGAATGCATAAAAGTGTCACTTCATGAACAAAAACACACAACAAGATGCATTTGTCATGTATTTATTAAAGGAAGTAATATAAAACACTTTGTAAATTTTTACCGTTTTTTTCAACTGCTTACACACATTTTCAAAACTTTGCCTCTTTTTAAAAGATTTTTACACACAAATCACACACATTCAAATTATCATAAACACATCTCAAAAGCAAACATTTGCAAACAGCGTTGGCATAATATTAATTCCTGTTAGATTTGTGTGTGTTACATAGAGAACTGTGTGTTGTGTTTTGCAAAAAGCGTTTTATGAAATTGAAAACTGAGTCAACGACAGAATTAATGTTTTGTAGATTTGGTGTGTGCTTCTGCTGTTTGAGTGTCAGCTTTCAGAAACTGTGTGACAAGTAAAGATTCTGTGTGTAAGCGGTTGAAAAAAACTGTATAGCAACTCTTTCAAAAGCGTCTCATCTTCAGTTCGCTTCAATACGACATCGCGTTCAATATTAGTATAAATGCACTCTATAAAAACCATCATGAGGAATATCAGAACTGAAGACACTCCATCAGTGAAGGTGCTAAACTACGGTGGATTACACTGTTATGTTTAGTCAATTAGAATAACTTGAGTTTACAGGCTTTCAGACTAAAATACTGTAACTCCTATGACACACTGTGTGTTTGAGCTGCAGATGTGTTCAGTGAAGCGCAGGTGTGTTGTGTGTAGTCAGGCCTTCAGACGGCCAGCAGAGATCAGGTCCATCTGCGTCTGATTTACACTCATGTGTGGCATTGACCGTGCACTGAACGAGGAGCAGCAGATAAATGCTGTAATCTGACTCTGACAGCGTGAGTTCAGCCATTTCATTGCTTGCAAAATGACAGTTGGATCTCAAGGTCAGATTAAAAAAAGGAAAACTCCATAAACTGCTGTTAATCTGTTTTCCCATCACCAGGATGAAAGCTGGCTGCTCTCAGGTATTGTGGCATCTTTCTACAGCAAGATCTGATTTCGCTTTCTTCATTTGAGTGATGTTCAGAGAGTTTCTCTAGCACCACAGTGATCTGTTAGTCAACATGACAGAGCTTCAGCTTTGAGAAATTACTCTCCACCATTCGGCCGTAACAGCGACAAACGCATCGTCTGTACCGTAGTAAAGCACCCAGAATGACTTACAGTAACACGCACACTTCGATTAGATCTGAATCACAGCTTTTGTAAATGTTTTCTTTTTCCTGTCGATGTGCAACCTCTCCACAGAGAAAATCTCATTATCCTAACGAGCTTTTTCACCATGAAATATGCATTGATTATTTTGTTTCATGTAAAACTGCACAGACAGATTCGGTTTGCGTGAGCTTCTGTTCAACAGCCAGATGGAGACACGTTTGGATCTGGCACGAGAGAGCAACCGAAAAGAGAACACAGAAAGCAAAAATCAACTCATTCCAGAGTTTTCAAGTGAGAAAACAGGTTTCAAGCATTTGTAGCACGCGGTAAACTCACCAGCTGTGTTAAGATGAAAAACTGAATGTGTGAGTGTTTGCGCAGGTGAAGTGAACGACAGCTGCTCTCGTTTCCGTCTCCGCGAGTATGAATTTAAACCGTGGGAATTTTGATGAAATGTAAACCATCTGATCGTTCATCCGAAATCCAATTTCTGCTCGGGAGAGGCCGCCGGTGACTGCTGCGTATTTGGGATCATTATTCTGTGGGAGAGGTTCAAGAGAAAAAATAATGAATCGCTGGGCGAAATATTTGCATGGCCGTCTCTCCGCTGTCTTCCCTCTCTGTCTCTGTCTCTCATTAGCTCTTGTTTCCTCAGAGATTAGGTTTGTCTTGTGTGTATGTGCTCAGCGGGCACTTTATTAGATACACTTCTCTAATACTGACATGGACCCCTGTGCCCCAGATCAGCCTGAACTCAACAAGCGGCTGGAAACACTCCACAGAGACACACATTCATCATCATGTGCGGCGACGGAGCTTCAGATGATGAGCTTTATGACCGGATGTTGCTTTGGCAGATGAGAGCATATGGTCAGTAACAGCTCAAACACAGACTGCAGCATTTACAGTTTGTTTCAACAGCTTACACACATTTTCAAAACTTTGCCTCTTTTTTTCATAACTTCACACACAAATCCAAGAATTGCACACAAAATGCAAAATGCCTCTCATCTCTTGCAAAATGAAGCACTGCATTCAAAATATCACAAACACATCTCAAAAGCAAACATTTGCAAACATTAAAACATTAATTCCTGTTAGATTTGTGTGCTACATAGAGAACTGTGTGTTGTGTTTTGCAAAAAGTGTTTTCTGAAATTGAAAACTGAGTCAAAGGCTGAGAATTAGTGTAAGGTTTTGTAGATTTGGTGTGTGCTTCTGCTGTTTGAGTGTCAGCTTTCAGAAACTGTGTGACAAGTGAAGATTTAGTGTGTAAGCAATTGAAAAAAACTGTAAAGACGATCGGTTAATACTAAGACAAGGAACAAGAGCGAAGACAACATTCTCATTCATCACGAACAGAAAGGATGGAGCTGATTTATGACAATTAGACTGATGATTTTAGATGAGCTATGCTCTTCTTTAGATATTGGCTAGATTTATGTCATTTCAGGCTTTTATTACTTAACTCTATTCTCGCCAGCATGAAATTTCACGGCCAACAGAAAATTCTGTTGTATGAGCATCTGAACATGCAATATATCAAAAGAAAGAACATGCTTCTGCACATGAATTCTGATTTATCAACACTTGAATGTGGGTGAGTTTCGTAGTAAAAAAAAAAGACATTTGAACAAAAAGCCAGACATTGACATTGGCGTTTTTGTCAAAGACTACGTCTGGATGGGGTTCAGAAGAATGATCTAAGCATAGATGGAGTCGAACGCTTCATTAACACATCCAAAGCTTCACAGTCCTACACCGCTTCATGGATCCTCATTTCATTCTGTAACAGCAGTTTTGATTTATATGGTTTAGTGCTTGAGCACATTAGATTTTTATGTGAGCAATGCTTCGATTGTTTGGATCAGGAGATTCTGTACCATTTCAGAAGATGTGTAATAGCGCCCCCCACTATATAACAGTGAAAACTTGGATGGGCGGAAAAGTCTGTCAATGGCGGGAAAAGAGAATCTGAGCAGATATTCAAACACTAGGCATCCTACATTTGGCGACTTTGCAGAGGAAAAACTGGCCACTGTAAACAACCAAGAATAACATGCAACCAGACGTTACAGTCATTCCCATCACAACAAACTGAAACACTGACAAATTAAAACAATATGTTTTCTAAAATCGGCTCAAAATATCAAATGTGTCTGATCTCCTCCGATTGAATGGAATCAGAGTCTGAGTCTGAGTCTATCCTACACCACATGATTTTCTATGAAATCTGTCAACTCAAATCTGCAGACTGAGTTTAAAAATCTGGGCAAAAGCTGTGTGATGTATTCCAGCCTTTACACGGATCAGATCTGATGCAATGGAGGTGAGATTCCTGTTTGTTCCAGAGATGAAATTAATAAAAGCTGATGCTCTAGTCATTTAATACTGGACTACAGCTCTGTGGAGAAACATCACACACATCGATACATCCTCACTTCATAATTACCACAATAAGCCCTCCCTGTGGCCCGATACACACACATAGTCTCATCCCGTTGACCTTCATCCATGTGAAGCCATCGCTGCTGTGATCCTGCGTGCCGTTAGACGACGCTATACGGCTAATCACGGCGAGGGCGAGAGCGCTCCGCTCTGGGGGGTCTCTTTAAGAAATGTCAGCACTGAGACGGGAAGGAAATTGCTCTCAGTACAGCTGCTGAACATCACAGGCTCCCAGCCAGGCCCAGAACTGAGCCTTCTGAACATAATCCAATCCTAAACACGTCGCAAGCCCGAGCTTTTGTTCCAGTGATGAGCGACGCTGTCGGGGTGAGAGGCTGACATCTTCCTTCTGAATATAATTGAGTCCCACTGGTTCTGTAAATTAGCAATGGGACGCACTAAGAGGAAAGTTCTGGCAACCAGCGGAGAAGGTGCGATAAATGCAGCTGAATTACACAGCGTTTCTTCTGTTG